GGGGGGGGGGGAAACGAAAGTGTACCGACGAGTTTTTTCCTTCTTGCAAGGAAATTAATTCTGGAGCTGGGTGTCAGTCCTTTCTAGGGACTTTGTGGGTTCAAAAGTGCAATCAAGCAACAGAACGGGGCTTTACCTACGCGAGAATCTCCGCCGAGAACTTCATGACCTTCAAGAAACGAAATCTCTATGCTAATACCGAGGAGCCTGCGTGCGAAAGACTCCTCGTTCTGAGCTTCACCAAAGAACCACATTCTACGGATTTACCAGAGCGAACAATCTTAGAGAGTTCTGGACTCGACTCCCTCTACAGATCCACAACTCTGAATACAACCTCCACGATCCTGGCGAAAAAGGAGGCATCTGTACTTCGAAAACCTACCTCAACTCCAAGTCCACGGAGAATCCGACATACCCAGCTAGCTTCTCCATACCGATGCTACATCGAAATTCAATCGACCTTTCCATCCGAGCCACGCTTCATCCTCCCCTAAAGTCAGGTACCAGACATCCATATCCCAATTGCAATCTCCGACCCAAGCCTCTCAATACTTAGGTACTTTACCTACTCCCTTATACAGTCCCGAAGTAGTAACAACAACAACCATCAACAAAGTCGTCTTCAACAGCTTACCTTACCTTACCTTACCCTTCTTCTTGTTTTATAACTAACCCGGGCACCAGATCGTTTGCGCCAGCTACTTTAAAGAGGCATTCGTAACAGTATTCACCAACAAACAAATCTCATAAACGCACCACGAAAAAAAAGGAAAAAGAAAAGTGTATTCGATATCCTATCCAAACCCCTCTCAGCTTCTAAGTCTACTTCCACTTCCTCTACGAGTCCACTTCATAGCAGGTAGTGGGCAGTGAAGTCAAATTTTACGCAGGGGCTTCAGTTTCTCGAAATGAGATTGAGGGTGGGAAAATGTTTCCTCCAAGTCCCGTCGGAGAGAGAGAGAGAGAGAGCTTCCCCCCAAAAAAAAAAGAAAAAAAGGGGGAGGGTTGGATTTACTTGTCCCCGAGGCCATCCATAGGCGTGCATGAAAGGGAGAAGGTAGAAATATACAATTTCAATATCGGGATTGACTGAAAGAAGAAGGGAGGGGGATTTTGATAATACTAGAGATCGATCAGGTTGAATATTTCTAGTAGGCACTGGGTACTAGGGATTATAGGGGAAGGGATTTAGGTAGTACAGTATATGTACATGTACATTTATGGTTCGCTGAGGTATTAGGATGGATAAAATGCTGTTTGGTATTCGTTTTGGTTATGTTGGAGTCATGGATGACTGCTACCTATGACTCCACAGGGGCATTGTTGGATTGATGCGGTGGGTACGGATTAGTAAGATGGAATATGATTGTGTGGAAAGAATGGAAGAGCTTTGGGAGAGGAAAATGCCTTCTAGGCCTTGTGGGTGAGAGGTTAACTCAAACAATCCTGTCTTCTACGAGAAGAAGGGTATATATTTGTGGAGAGTAACTCTGGTTGCAGAATTGTTTTTGTATACACTTACGATATGTCGTACAGAAGATGTATATATACACGCCTCTCCTCCGCCATCTAGATGGAGAAATTACTTGCCACTATTCACTCAAGCCGCCGAGCTCGACTTGTTCTTTCTACTTCTCTTCTTTTTCTTCGTTCCCTCTTTGCTAGTTCCATTCGATTTCCCGCTCTCCTCAGCTGCGGCAAGATTAACATGATTCGCCCCCGTACTGACCTGCTCCCCGAAGGTGCCCAAGATCCTCTCGAAACCGCCCGTGGGCTCATCCGGAGTTCCAAACGTCTCTTTCCTCCACATCTTGAGTCTTTGCTTCTTACTGTACTTCTTCTTATCCCTCTGCTTCTTCTCCTGGTCTCGAAAGGCGGCCATTTTCTTCAATCCCGCATACGAGTTCAATGCCGTGTCGTCTGCAAACAAGATATCTCTCGCTGATAGACCAAAGGATGTGGGAGAAGTTTCGCGGTAGCGGAAACCTGTGACGGGAGCTTTGTGCGAGCCTGCGGAAGAGGCCAAGGTGGGGTGACTGAGTGGGAGAGCAGAGTCGATGATTTCTTCAATCTTGGCGCGTTCTTTGCGCGCAGCACGTTTGGCGTCAGACTTCTCTTGTAGGCGGTCCTTTTTCGTTTTGCGTTTCTTCCCAGACGTCTCTTCGTCGGAAGCGGGAGGGAGAGGTGCACCTCCCTCCTCGTCATCTTCGTCGTCCGTGAGCGTGATGTTGGGTTTGTCGCCGGCATCAAAATCGGGTATGATGTCGTTGATGTCGATGTCGTCGTCGAATTTGGGTTTCTTGGGTTTACGAGACTTGCTTCCGCCAGCTTTCTCGTCTTCGTCCTCCGACATCGCATCATCTTCCGCGTAGTAGTCTTCTCCAAAGCGACGCTTCATCTCCTGCTCCCATTTGTCGTCGTCGAAGTCGCCTTCAATAACGTCTCGCCACTCATCCAAGTCAATGGCTTTGCCTCGCAACCCGGCAGCTTCTTTGATACGCTTGACCTTCTCCTCTGCTTCTTCCACCTTGAGTTTGCGCAGTCGAGCCTTTTCCTCCTCACGTTCTCGCTTGGCAGCCTCCTTCGTTTCCTTTTCACGCTCTCTTTGCTTGGCACGACCAGTCTTTTCATCTCTCCGCACACCATACTTGCCAACATCACGTGAGAAGGACTTGAGCTTCTCATTGGCGGTCGGGTCCTCGTGGCGTAGGTTGTATAGATGTTCGTACTCTTCTGCCTTTTTCTCATCCTCGCTGTCATCCGACTCGAGCGGCTGGAAGCGGGAGCCATCAGTCGGCAGCCAAGCTCGGGCGGCCATAAAGTTGGACAGATAGGTCTCTGGATCCTTGTCGGCCTCGTTGATATCCTGCTCCGTGATCTTGACCTTCTTCTTCCTGGACTTGGACTTGGTGTCGGCAGTGGGAAGGTCTTCGTGCTTGCTCTTCTTCTTGCGCACCAACATACCATCTTCCTCATCGTCGTTGTCTTCGCTCTCTGCATCGTCAGCGGCCGTAGCGTGCATCTGGCCAACCAAATTCTTCCGCATCTCGTCCTGCTCTTGCTGGTATGTCTGCACCGGCACCTCCTCGTCGTCATTGTCTCCCATCTCACCGGCGAGCAGTCTCTCCCGCTGGTAATCGTGCAGTGTCATGGGCTTTCCCTCCTTCTCCTTCCCCTTGGCGCCATCTTGCTCGGGGTTATAGTCTTTGAAGAACTTCACATTGGGGTCTTTGATGCGCGGGTCCTTGTTCCGGATGGCCTGCAGCACATTCTCAATCTCCTCGTCGACTTCCTCGTCTGCCAGCTCAGCATCGTCGTCTTCCTCCTCGTCGGTGCTCGAATCATCGTCTTCGTCGTCGTCGTCGTCGAACTTGCGCTTGCTGCCATTTCCCGCCACATTCCCTGCGCCATACTTTTCCTCCAGCCGGGCCTGTTCTTCGCGCTTTTTGTTGTGTTCGAAGCGAGCGGCATACGACTCGTTGATTTTGAAGGTGGAAGGCTCGATCTTGACGCCGGCATCGCTTTCGTCGTCGCTTAGATCCAGCTTCTGCTTCTTCATTGCCCGAGGCATCTTTGCGGCTGCAGTAGAAGTTGTAGGTGATGGGTAATTTCGAAGTCGTGCTCATTCGCACGTCCATACGAAAAATATCAGATAAGGTTGACGCTAGCGGGCCAGGGTTCTTCTCACACAGAATTGTGGCGCACTTTTTTTGGTCCCGAACTTCTTTTCTCGAACCTCTGCAAGACAGACTCTACTCAGCCATGGCGGACTTCCACGATAGCGATCGGCCTGTCAAGAAGCGGAGATTGAGTAGCGACGGCGAGGATGCGGAAGAAGTGCCATCTAGGGCCATCACGTTCCAAGACGACGGCCTGTCCAGAATCAAGAAATCAAAGGCTCCCAAAGTGCAACCGGTTGCTTCGTCTTCGACTGAAGAACCGGTTGATGCCATCACGCTATCGACCGATCTGAACGAAAAGTTGACCTTCAAAGACCTTGGAGTATCACCATGGTTGATCCACGCACTCAAAAACCTGTCCATCACAAACCCGACACGTATTCAAAAGTCTACCATACCCGAAATTCTCGCAGGTAAAGACTGCATAGGAGGGAGTCGCACTGGATCTGGAAAGACAATTGCATTTGCGTTGCCAATTCTCCAACAGTGGGCGAAAGAACCGTCGGGAATTTACGCTCTCATCCTGACACCAACCCGAGAATTGGCACTCCAAATTTATGAGCAGATCCAAGCCATTGGAGGGAATCAAGGCATCAAATCAGTTCTTGTGACAGGCGGAGCTGAGATGCGAAAACAGGCCATCGAGCTGGAAAAGAAACCACATATTGTGATTGCCACGCCTGGCAGGCTGGCGGATCATGTGCTGAACAGTGGAGAAGACACTATTCGCGGACTGAAAAAAGTCAAGTTTGTGGTGTTCGACGAAGCAGATCGCTTGCTACAAAGTGGAAAAGGCAGCATGCTGGGAGATGTGGAACGGTGTCTAGACGCAGTGCCCAGCGCAGCAAAGAGACAGACCTTACTCTTCACCGCCACAGTCACACCTGAAGTGCGAGCTTTGAAGGAAAGTCCTCGAGAGAATGGTACGTCTCTGCCCTTTTCATGACTCCGTGAACTTTCAAAAAGCTAAAGTCTCCCAGGCCGTCCACCACCCTTCGTCTCAGAAGTAGACATTGACTCTCTTGCCATACCTTCAACCCTAACCCAAACCTATCAACTCGTGAATGTCCTGCATAAAGAAAAGTACCTGCACATTCTCCTCAGCACTCCCGCCAATATTCAAAAGACAACCATCATCTTCACAAACCGCACCACAACCGCAAACCTCCTAGAATACATGCTCCGCTCTCTCGAGCACCGCATCACAGCTCTCCACTCCGCTCTCACCCATGAAGACCGCGTCAACAACCTCGCCCGCTTTCGCGCTGGCGCCGCACGGATCCTCGTTGCCACAGACGTAGCGGGTCGCGGTCTTGATATTCCGGATGTGGGACTCGTGATCAATTATGACCTACCTCGTAACCCGGATGATTACATTCATCGTGTGGGACGTACGGCACGTGCGGGACGGGTCGGCGTGGCGATTAGTCTCGTGGGACAGAGGGATGTGGACCTTGTGAAAGCGATCGAAGCACGTGTGGGCAAGGCTATGGTGGCGTATGAGGAGACTGGAGTGAACGTCGAGACGCGGGTCATTCGAGAGGCGTTGAATGTTGTGGGCGATAAGAAGAGGGAGGCCATGTTGAATATCGAGGAGGGAAGAGATGTGAAGGGGAAGAGGAGAAGGGGTTTGGCGAAGGCTTTGAGGAGGGGGAAGGCGTAGCAACAGTCCTGACCTATTGGAAGCACCGTCTTCGGGACAGCATATATTTGATTCAGCTTGTGCTTGGCCGCTCCAAACATTCTATTGTGCGAAATTTATGGCGTCCATCTAAGCAGCATCAAACTGTCTGCGATAGGCTCTCCCATGTTGCTGAGGCCAATAACAGCGAGAGGCCCAGATGTAAGTAGGTAAGCCAGAAACTGCTGACACAGGAACAGATACATGTCCGCGGGGGTGCCCAAAGCGGTATGGTACGAGAGAGGTCTGAGCAGTGAGACAAGCAAAAAGTGTCGTTCCTCAGCCGTTCGCCTCTGCCCAGTGCACCTCTTCTTCATATCTCGAGTCTCTCGTTCCCGTTTTATCCACAATGCGAGTTCAAGCGCTGACGCGGCTCTCGCTGCGGAACACGGCTCTTCGCAGTCCCAGCACGAGGACATTCACATCCGCATCGACATGCTATCCCCTTCGACAACTTTCCCTCTCCGGGCAGAAACACGACAGAATACCTGGCGCGAGATGGACTCAGCCGCGACGATGGGCTTCCGCAACAGCAGCAGCCTCCGTCCTGGAAACGGCCATGCATGATCCCGCTTCGCTTTCTCAATCTGCCATCGTCGAGAACCTCGACCCCAAAGAAGCCGCTCGCTTGGACAAAGTGCGGAACATTGGCATCGCAGCACACATCGATTCTGGCAAGACGACTGCCACTGAGCGCGTGCTGTTCTACACGGGTCGGATCAAGGATATTCACGAAGTGCGCGGACGCGATGCCGTCGGCGCTAAGATGGATAGTATGGATTTGGAGCGAGAGAAGGGCATCACAATCCAATCTGCTGCGACGTTTTGTGACTGGGTGAAGAAGGTGCCGGATCCTGTGACAGGGGAGCTGAAAGAGGAGAAATTCCATATCAACTTGATTGATACACCAGGACACATCGATTTCACGATTGAGGTGGAAAGAGCGCTGAGAGTGTTGGATGGCGCTGTGATGATTCTGTGTGCGGTATCGGGTGTGCAGTCGCAGACGGTGACGGTGGATCGACAGATGAAGCGGTACAATGTGCCTCGTCTGTCCTTTGTGAATAAGATGGATCGAGCGGGTGCCAACCCTTGGAAGGCGGTAGAAGGAATCAATCAGAAATTGCGAATTCCTGCTGCTGCCATCCAGATCCCAATCGGTGCGGAGGATCAGTTCAAGGGTGTAGTGGATCTCATTCGAATGCGAGCCATCTACTCAGAGGGAGATAAAGGTGTTATTGTGCGAGAGGATGAATGCCCGGCAGACTTGGTTGAATTCGCCAAGGAGAAGAGACAGGTCATGATCGAGACTCTGGCTGACGTCGACGATGTTATTGCCGACGCAGTGCTGGACGAACGTGAGCCTTCGGTGGACGAGATCAAGGCGGCCATTCGACGCGCGACAATCGGGCTGAAGTTCACACCTGTCATGATGGGATCTGCTTTGGCTGATAAGTCCGTTCAGCCTATGCTAGATGCTGTCGTCGATTACTTGCCCAACCCGTCTGAGGTGGAGAACTTGGCTCTGGACCGAAGACGAAACGAAGCGACCGTCAAGCTTGTCTCTTACAATTCCCTCCCCTTTGTAGGCTTAGCATTCAAGTTGGAAGAGTCTAACTTTGGCCAGCTCACTTATATTCGCGTGTATCAGGGCAAGCTTTCCAAAGGTCAGAATGTCACCAATGCTCGCACAGGTCAAAAAGTCAAGATTCCTCGCATCGTACGCATGCACTCTAACGAAATGGAAGAGGTCTCGGAGATCGGCGCGGGAGAAATTTGTGCAGTGTTCGGCATTGACTGCGCTTCTGGAGACACTTTTACAGACGGCGGCAAGCTTGACTATTCTATGACATCCATGTTCGTGCCGGACCCCGTCATCTCCCTCTACATCAGACCCAAACACACCAAGGACACACCCAACTTCAGCAAGGCCATTTCGAGATTCCAGCGTGAAGATCCCACATTCCGCGTTCACGTCGATACTGAGTCGGGCGAATCCATTATATCCGGAATGGGTGAACTCCATCTCGATATTTATGTCGAACGCATGAGACGTGAATACAAGGTTGAGGTCGTCACCGGTCAACCACAAGTTGCATACCGAGAGACCATCCAAAATCACGTCCCATTCGACCACTTACTCAGGAAGCAAACTGGTGGAGCGGGAGATTACGCTCGTGTTGTTGGGTATCTCGAACCCACCGAGCCGTCCGAGAGCGGCAGCGAAGCTGGTTTCGGTGAAAACAAGTTCGAATCTCAAATCGTGGGTGGTACCATTCCCGAAAAATACTTGTTCGCCTGCGACAAAGGTTTCCAAGCCTCTTGTGTCAACGGTCCGCTCCTCGGCCATCGTGTCCTTGGAACAAGCATGGTGATCAACGACGGAGCTACACACATGACTGATTCCTCGGAATTGGCCTTCAAGAACGCCACGCAACAAGCCTTTCGTAAAGCCTTTCTCGCTGCAGGTCCCCAGGTTCTCGAGCCTTTGATGAAGACTGTGATTACCGCTCCTGTGGAGTTCCAGGGTAACATTGTCGGCCTTCTCAACAAGAGAAACTCCATCATTAATGACACGGAAATCGGTGCCGAGGAGTTTACGCTGACTGCCGATTGTTCGTTGAATAGCATGTTTGGCTTCTCTTCCCAATTGCGTGCTGCAACGCAGGGCAAAGGAGAGTTTAGTATGGAGTTTAGTCATTATGCTCCTGCGCCGCCGCAGTTGCAGAGGGAGTTGATCGCTAAGCACGAGAAGGAGAGGGCGGAGAAAAATAAGAAGTAGTGCATTGCTCATATCTGTGGGAACGGTGGCAGGCCTACATTTGGCCAATACCTACTCTATGGACAAAGTCCCGCGAGGACTAGAACCGTTTGCAGAGGATGTGCAGGCACCCCCGTCAGGCCCTATGCGCCTGGCAACTCCTACGTGCGAGTGATAGAGGAGGGTCATGCTGACGAGGTGCCACTCTCCAATTTCCAGAGGGTGACTTGAGTTGGCTCTCGGGCAGAACCGAGCAGCCAGAGAGCCGTGATTCTTTCGCCAACCTCAATTTGTTGTACGATATGGAAGAAGAAAGAAGACACTGCTCGAACTCGACTCCAACAGGCTGATGACGAATGAGATGTTTTGTACCAACAGAGTGACAGAGTAATAAATGATTGTACAGACCCGCGGCGATATAAAACGCACAGCTCCTTCGACTCTCCACTCGGTATGGGCGGTGTTCTTGGTTGCTGTTACTTTAAGTCAGCTTGTTAGATAGATCAAGACAGCCAGATAGACGGATAGATGGACCCAGCTTGTATGCATACAAGAGTAGGATAAAAGTTCATGAAACTTGATCAACGAGTGGCATAGCGCATAGCCCCTGTTTGGATTTAACGATATTGTTCTAGGCGAATCGACGGAACAAGAAGTACGAGATCCGTGAGACGATGATCCCAGCAGGCTACAAGCCAAAGACGACATGCCTGCAATAGCAGATGAGATGTTTAAAATTAGGTTTACTTCCAACACAACTAAAAGGTACAAGACGCGATGTATAAGCGTTTGGCTGTCCCCTCATGGTCGCCCGATTCGTGCAGATTGACGATTGATACAGCACTGTATGAGCAGAGATGGCTCTGAATTCCCACTATATCAATCAGCTGGGCTCGTCTTGGGCGAAGTCTAGGATCACACTTCTCTTGCTGTCCATCTTGGCACAACTTGGCCATGCGCAAACAGCCCCGGATAGTGGCCATTTGAGCTCCAACATCCCACGTCCCCCACAGGCGCCATATGTGTTCAACGACTCGGCCGATTCCATCAATCAGACCATATCTAAGAACATTGCGCTCCAGAAGGCTATGGTGCAGAGTATCCTGGACAATGTGAGCCCGGACAACGCCACGTTCGATAATACCATTCTCCCATATCTTCGATACGAGAACGAGGATGGTGTTGGAAGTCTGCCTTTGGGCACTTATAGCCTAGGCACCAAACCCGAAGTGAACGAAGCCATAGGCACCGCACTAGGAAATGCTCGGGATGTGGACGACCAAGTTCGCAACAACGAGGACTTATTCCGATTGATAGACAGCGTATATCAGAAATACGCCAACGACTCCTCACTCAACGAAGAAGAGCAAATCGCCCTCAAAAGCGCATGGTTCCAATTCGCGCAATCCGGTCTGAACGTCACAGCTGGCGAACAACGCGACCGTTTCTTCCAACTCGACGAGCGTTTGTCAAACATTACCGACGAATTCAGCTCCAATCTGGCCAAGGATGTGGCTGATGTCTACTTCACACCCGAAGAGCTCGAAGGCGTGCCCATGGAAATCCTGCAGACTTATGAGAACATCACGACGGGTGAGAATGCCGGGAAGCTGAAAGTGGACGTTGGTCTTCGTTCTCGCTACCCTACTATTATGAATAATGCGATCAATGAGACTACGAGGTATACTACATTCTTGACGGCGCAACGCAAGTCTCCGGAGAATGTTCCTCTGGTGCAGGAAGCTGTTGATGTGCGGTTGCAATATGCGCAGGTTTTGGGTTATCCTAGTTATGCTGCTTACGCGTGAGTTTTGTTCTTACTTTTTTGATTATCTCCACGGGAACTTTTCTCTCTCGCAAGAAGAAACTGGCTTTTTAACTCTGGGTTGGCTTAGGCTTGATGGATCGATGGCGGAGACAGTAGAAGTGGTGAATGAGTTTTTGGCAGATATTGGCTCCAGGGTTGCGCCTTTGGGCCAACGGGAGCTGGAAACTCTCAATGAGCTCAAGTCGAAAGACGAGAAGCTGGTGAGTCCGGTGGGTGATGGAGGTATAGCCTATTGGTGGGACAAGTAAGTGTTGAAATTCTCTCTGTGACTGTTTACACCCCCACGGCCTTTTCGTACTCCATATTCAGGGGACCACGCTGACGCTGTGCTTAGATTGTACTACGGAGAAGTCGAACGCAAAACCAATTACGATGTGGACGAAAACCAAGTTACTGCGTACTTTCCCGCAAATACCACTGTTCCGGCCATACTGGAATTCTATGGCGAAATCTTCGGTTTGAAATTCTACAAAATCGAGGGCGAGGATGCTGATGAGTTATCCCCATCCGGCAAGGGTAGCGATCTCGTATGGCATCCCGATGTCATGATGTACGCCGTATGGGACAATCAGGAGTACATGGAAAAGTACCAAGTGACCGACACTGGATTCCGCGGCTATCTCTACCTCGACCTCTTCTACCGCGAAGGCGTCAAGAGCGGTGGAGGGGGATACATGCAGCCCATCCAGTACGGCTTCCAAAAAGAAGACGGCTCCTACTTCGCCTCCTCCTGTTCAGTGATTCTCAATTTCCAAAAATCCAACGATACCATCAAACCCTCCCTATTCAAACACGCCGACGTCAGCAGCGTCATGCACGAACTCGGCCACACCATGCACAATTTCCTCAGCCAGACGACCTTCAGCCGTACCCACGGCACCGCAGGCGTCCCCTCAGATTTCCTCGAATTCCCATCTCAACTAATGGCAAACTGGGCCCGCGTCCCTCAAACTCTCCAACGCATCAGTAAACACTGGTCCTCCTTTTCCTCCGAAGCCGCTTCCGCTTGGAGAAGCGAACAGCAACTCGATCCAACTTCTGCTTTACCCCCAGCTACCATGTCTGACGATTTGATTGCCAAAGTTATCAATTCCACTCAACTTCTCGGCGGTTTGGATACTCTTCGTCAGATTTGGTTCGCTTTGTACGATCAAAATCTCTCCCAACTCACTTCTTCTGACGAAGCGAAATCTCTCGATGTTACGATTTTGTACAATACTCTCGGTCGCAATGTTACTATGATTCCCGACCCTTCCGATCTTCCCAGTACTAGTCCTCAAAGCGACAACGATAACAACAACAACAACAACAACAACAACAACAACAACAACGACCCCAACAAATGGGGCCACGGAGAATCCACATTCTCCAACATCCAAGACCGGTATGCGGGTACATATTACGCCTATCAATGGTGTTTGGTGTATGCAGAGGATGTATTTTATTCGGCCTTTGTGGATGATCCGTTTAGTAGCGAGGTGGGAATGCGCTTTCGGACGCAGGTGTTGCAGCCTGGAGGCGCGAGGGATTTGAAGAGGATTTTGGAAGAGTTTTTGGGGAGGGAGGGGTTGGATTTGAGGGGTTATGAGAGGTATTTGGGGATTGGGAGTTGAGAGTAGGGGGTTTATGGTGGGGATTTGGATGTTTTGATGGGGATGGTGGTGGTGGTGGTGGTTGTGTCGATATGTCTTTCGATTTCATGGTTGGTTGCTCGTGGTGGCTGTGACACCTATGCGCAATGTGATGAAAAAGCGTTTATTTCTGCGCATTGCTATATATATATGCTCAACGACCAACCACTTCGACAACATCATCCACCGCCAACAAAAATCCATCTCAACCCAGCAAAAAAAAAAAAAAAAAAAAAAAAAAAAAAAAAAACTCATTCCAACCCACCCCCT